CCCCAAAACCCCAAAACCCCAAAACCCCAAAACCCCAAAACCCCGTACAACACAAAAGTTATTGAAAGTACGACACAAAAGTTATTAAAGGATACTTTCTTTCGATTAAAATTATTTAAACTCTTTCTGAATAATCTCATTATCAACCATAATGCTATATTTCTGAGGAATATTGATCTTAGTTTTGTTAGTTGTGACTGTGTAAATAATAGGGAAACCCTGGTTTGTCTCTCCTATAAAGAATAGCTTCTCGTTAGGGTCAATTTTAACCTTAGAGCCACCTTTTTGCCCTTTAAATGTCTCTTCCATATCTGAATGAAGAGCCAAAAGTCTGGAGAATAATCCAGAAACCCCTGACTGCAGCTTTTCTTCTGTAAGATCTTTCTTTTTCTGTACGACGAAATTTGAGAAGAATCTCACGCTGTGTTCAATCTTTATCTGAGCACTTGTATCGTGCTTTATAGCTATTCTATCACTTAAGAAATTATTTTGAAGATGATACAAGAATCCAAAGCGCGACAAATATTTCAGAGATAACTTCTTCCCTCCGAATATTAGAATCTTATCACCTAGGGGAACACAAGCACTGTCAATTGCGAATTTTGAGTCAAGGGTTGATTCATTCATGCATATTTGAAATTGTCTGGAAGAGTCTGATAAATCTTCAATATGTACTCTCTCGATACTGCCTACATACTGACTCTTTCCTTCAAAATTTTTGAGACCTCCAATTACATAAATGTGTTCCTTCATTTGACATAATGAATGATGAGATCTTTGATAATTTAGCTTTATAGACTCTGAGAGCTCAAATGTTTCAGGATCAAACACGTAGTTTGCATCACTTGTATAGCCTTCATTTGGATTGAACCCCCCACTGAGGAGAATGAAATTAGCCCCATTGTAATGGAATCCAACAATAGCTTTATTGATTAATTCAGGACTCGATTCTTGGCCTCCCTCATGAGCCTTAACTACACCAATTTTTGTGCCAGAAAGATTGATTTGATAAATAATGTTGCTAAAACTACCATCCATTTTGAGGTATCCAAACAAATAAAGGACATCATTGATACAGATATAGTCTCCTTGGCTGTAGTCAGAGAAGTATTTAGACATGTCCATAGCTTCAAACCCAGAGTGGTGGTCTTCAAGACTCATTGTATAGAGCATGACTTTCCTATAAAAATTAGCCAAAATCTTACGCATCTCTATCTCTCATAATAAATCCGATCTTTGTGCAAGCAAGAGGTTGGAGATAGTCTGTATAGCTATTCCCATCCTCTGCAAATATATTAGAGGACTTAGACTGGAAGAATGATTTTGCTTGTGAGGATATTTCTGAATTCTCCATCTCACTAATCTTCAATCCTCCTTTAAATAATCCGATATATTCCTTCTTTTCCTCTTCAGAAGGAGTATTAGATTTATCATCCTTAATCTCACTTGGATCGGTAATTTTCATCTTAGATAAATCTTGCCCGTGTGCTGAAGAAAAATCAGGATGAGGCATTTGCAAACTATCTTGGTCCTGTTTCTGTGAAGGTTCGCCTTTAATTAGCGAGACTTCCTTTTCTTCAGATTTTGAATTTTCTTGGTCAATTTCTATTTTTGGCGGGTCAGATTGACTCTTTGACCTACTCCTTTTTATAAATTCGCCACTATCGATTTCCTTCTGAGCTTCTAATGATTTCTTCCTCTCATCAGAGTTCTCTTGACCTTCACCTTCAGATCTGAGTGGGGAGACTTTGTTTCCTCCTGTAGCTTCCTGAATTGATTCTTCAAGCAATTGGTTGGAGTCCGATCTTTTCTCTAAGGAAATATTTTCATCTGGCTTATTTTCTTCAGATATTTTCTCTTCTGATTTATGGTCTTCTTCAACCACTTCTTTTGAAATCAATTTTTCTTCATCGGAAGACTCTTGACTCTCCTGCTTTGGCACACTGGATTCTTCAATTTGAATATTAGAGTCTGAGACTTCAAGGGTTGGACTGAACAAGAGCTCTTGTCCTACAAACTTTGTACAGCAGGTTCTAATCAATCCTGAGATTGTATCTTCTATTAGTAGATATTTATTAGGGTAGAGATGAAGGACTTACTGTTAATAAGCTCAGGCTTGACTTCAAATTTATCAACACCACTTTTTAGCATTTCATTCATTTTTAGGATAATATCTACCCAAGAATTTGAATTTAAGAAACTCTCTTCTTCTGGAACATCATTTCCTTCTCTCTGAACGACTAAGTTATCAGACTCAAGGATTGATTTAGCCTCTTCAGATCATTGCTGAATAAATGTGTATAGTTTCTCTTTCATAAGTTCTGGTTCAAATTCTTGAAAATTTTGAGTAAATTGACTAATCTTTTCTTTCAGATGTTCTAAAAATATGAAATAAAAATACTCTCGATTTCATTTTTGGAATCTAAAACCATGCCTTGTTCGTTTCATTCGCTACATCTATTCTCTATTAATTTCTCATGTAAAGGCTCTGAGTGATTTGCTCAGAAAGCCTTTAAAATTTTCCTAGTTTTGAATTCTATTGGGATAAGTTGAATATTACTGTTGACAGGACCATAAGTGCAATCAAGGGTATCCACCTTTTCATCTGTATCGCCTTCTTCTCCTTCCTCTTCACTATCCTCATCTTCACGGTGGACTCCACAAGGAGTGTTGAACTGGGATAGTTCTTCTAGCCTTCTGTCAATTTCTCTGATGTTTGCTTCTTTATCTAATTTATCGCTATCAATCTTATTTTGATTAAATAAAAAAGTTTCTTTTAATTTTAGCATTTCTTGTATTTCCTGTTCAATTTCATGGTCTTCAATTAAAATATTTTCTCAATCAAACTTTTTGGAAGGAATTAGTGGTTCAGTGTCTATAGACCATAAGCAGATAATTAAACAAAAGGTGTACTGACGTTAGGAAATAGTTAGGACTCACTTTCTTGCCAACATGTCTTATGTCTGTCCTCACCTTCTAAACAGAAGCTTTTTCCTCAGTTGACGCAATAACTATCTCTCATTACCAAATCTTCTTCGCTTTGGGTGCTACTTCCGCTGCTTGATTCCCCTTCGCCAGAACTTGAGTACTCATTTTCTCCGCAAATCTACCAGTTTGTTTATTAAAAATACCTGTCCCATTGGTAGTTTTCCGAACCTCGCTAATTTTCGTCCCTATGAGTAAATATAATAAGTTCAACAATTAAGAGATGTTTCATGAAAATGATTTCCGGAAGAAACACAAATATATAAAAATAAAAAATGCCAAATATAAAGAATCTAAGAACACGAACATTCCTAAACAACGAATTTCCCTGCATAACCTCAATCAACGCATCACCTATCATAAAAAACCAAAATCCACCCCATCCCCAACTCCTCTGCTTACAAACCCAGTGACCTCATCAACGGTAACAACTATCTTCTCAGCACAATTGCTCTCCATATTTATTAAAATACTTAATATTTACAAGCTGTAGAAGAGAATTTGGGGTTTTGGGGTTTTGGGGTTTTGGGGTTTTGGGG